ATGCGGCTGTGCGGCTGCCGTCGCTGGAACGGCCTTAGAGAGGGGCTCTGGCTCTCGCTGTGCCCTCACACGGCTTAGGCACGGGCGTGTGTAACATGAAAATGTTGGTGTTTGAATGGTTGGCTTAATACTGTATTTTAACACCACTTACATCCAGCTTCGGCACTGTTGGTTCCAAGAGATGATTGAAGGGGAGGTGAAACTTTTCTTCCACCCAGAAATGCCGATGTCTTTAATATTTCTGTGCTCTCTGGTATTTATGGTAATTCTGACACATCTACGTCTGTTTTCTTCCTTGGCTCTTATGTTCATTGCAGATGGATATTAACATGCACAGAGTTATTCTTTGAGGGTTTGGGGTTGGGTTTTTATCAGAGCTGTAGTAGCAGTTGAGCTTTGAAGAAAGTGCTACAATTGATGTTTGTTCTCCAGGTGGTAACCACTGTGGCTTTGCGAAACTCCTGCATCATGTATAGCTTACACGTTTTACTTCTCAGCTTTTCTCTCTGCCTGTGCATTTGCAGGCTCAGAGCATTTTTTGTGTGTTTAGAAGGAGGAGGCATTATTTCATTAGCCTTCACAAAACTAAGATTATTTATGCCAGTGATAATACCTCACTTAGAGTATAGGTTTTCCCATGGATTTCTAAAACTCTTTGTTAGTTTCTTGCTAGTTTTCTGAATCCTGTCTCCAAAAAAACCCCAAATCTACAGAGTATTAGAAATGCTTCCTCTACATAACTAGAACCCTTTGGTGGTATTTTATTTAGTTCAGATGCAGGAGACTTCCAGAACATCGCTTCTCAACACAGAGACATCCAGGCTTTGTCACTTGCAGGTTACATGCAGGTAGAGAAGTAACAATATTTCTGAAGGTTTTTTCACAGCAAGGGAAAAATGCTTCTGGTGTACATTATTGATGACATGTGTATGCCTTACAGTGTCAGTTCTGTTACCTCTTGCAGGTTCGGGAATGGAAAAATGAAGGCAGCAAAAGATACATGTGCACTGGCCGGCCTGGCTGGTTGACTGTGTCACTTCGTGTTGGGAAATATAAGAAGATTCATAAGAACATTGTGATCAACTTAATGGATGTTTTGGAGGTGGACAGTGAAAGACAGGTAACAAATTAATCGGAAAGCTTTCGTAATAATGAAGTTTACAGCTTTTTTTACTGTATTTGTAGCTGAAGAGGAGATTAAATTCCATAAAGAACAAAGGATTTTTGTAGCAGTAGCCGCACCAAATTTCAGGTTTTACAGTGTGCGCTTGGATCGTTCTATCCAAAATCACAGCATATGGAATTGCTTAGCTTTTATGTGCTGAAGTCTAAAAGACCAGATTGATTTATGGTTTTGGGGACTGAGCAACAAGATGTTGAGGCAGAGGAGGAATCACTAAACAGTTTCAACTATTTTTAGTAGTGCTCCTAGGAAAGCAAGTCTCTGAATTCTGATAACAGATGGAAGTACAATCCAGTTAGCCGCATTTTGTCGTCGTTAATGCTGAACACTTAATTAATGTTGGAGGGGGGAATTGGGGTTTTTTTGCTTTTTAGATTGTTCGTGTGGAACCTTTGGTGACCATGGGCCAGTTGACTGCACACCTGAATCCCATGGGCTGGACTATTCCTGTGGTACCAGAGCTTGATGATCTTACCGTAGGTAAGGGTCATTGTGCTTAAAAGAGATTCACTGGGTTTGCTGCATTTTCATTAGCTTTTTATTCAGTAACATCTTAATTATTTTAAAGCTTCTGGAAATACTCTGTTGAACCTTATGTTCTGTTGTGGTGTTTATGTTATAAGCACTTCCTTTTTTTTTAAAATAGTTTTAAAACTCTTGCCCCAAGCTTAAAATTGGGGTTTTGTTCTCATAAACCACCTTCATTTTGGAGTGTGCTTCATTTGATTTGTTATGTGCTCTCTTGATAAGGTGGCCTGATCATGGGAACTGGCATTGAGTCTTCATCCCATATATATGGACTTTTTCAACACACCTGTGTGGCCTATGAACTTGTTCTTGCTGATGGAAGCCTTGTGAGATGTTCACCAGTAAGACAAAATGTTATTTTGCTATCATTTACAATGTCATTGACAGTTATCGGTATGGATATATGATTCAGTATGACATACTTTTTGCAGACTGAAAATTCAGACCTATTTTATGCAGTGCCTTGGTCTTGTGGTACTCTGGGTTTCCTGGTTGCAGCAGAAATAAAAATGATTCCTGCCAAGAAATATGTCAAAATCCATTACGAGCCTGTGAGAGGACTGCAGAAGATTTGTGAAAAGTTTACTGAAGAATCTAAGAAAAAGGAGAATAGCTTTGTGGAAGGACTTCTGTATTCTTTGGAAGAAGCAGTCATCATGACAGGAGTCTTGACTGATGATGCTGAGCAAAGCAAGGTAAATAAAGGGAAGTTACTCACAAAGAAAAAAAATACCCACAAAGTTTTATCTGAAGCTGTACTATATGCCAGTATAAAACCACAATCATACAAGATTGGACCAATCTCTTAACTTGGGATTAAAAGTTAGATCTGTCCATCAGAATATTTTAAATTACAGTTCTTTGTTACTACCACAGAGTCTGTACTCTAAATCTCTTCAGTTGATACAAAATGACCCACTGATTTCATTATTCTAGCAAATAATTTAGCGCACAGCTTTTTCATTGCAGTACCTAAGGAGGAAGAGAAGAATCTTTTCTTATATCCAGAACAGTGCTGTTTTAAACTGCTGTTATTCGGAGTAATTCTTTTCCCAGCAAGCCTTTGATACAGTCAATATTGCTGAAACATATCAGGGACATTTACAGGAGGGACATGCTAATCATTCACTGTGTACCTCAACCTGGATGTTTTTCCTCAGCCATAATGAGACTTTGGATTAATGATGGGTTGAGAGATTGGTATTTTAGGGAAGCAGTTCTGTCACGTTCATGGTTTCTTGATCAGCTTCTAACAGGTCAGCCGTAGCAAGCCTTATTTAAATTAAACCTTAATGGCAAGAAAGGTAAGAAGGAGCCATGCATGTGGAGAAATGAAGGCTCCCTAGATCTCCTGTGACAGTCTCATTCAAACTGCCACAGAGGGTATAACGTTGATTCTTCACAGTGAAGGAATTTGGGGACATATTTAATGTTGTCTAGTAAGGTGTAACTGTTACCTGTGTTGGTGTTTGCTAATGGATGTGTGTTTTCTTGTAGATAAACAGAATTGGCAACTACTACAAGCCGTGGTTCTTTAAGCATGTGGAGAAGTATTTGAAAGCTGACAGGACTGGAATAGAATACATTCCCTCAAGGCATTATTACCATAGACATACACGCAGTATCTTCTGGGAGCTCCAAGTAAGACCAGTTCCAAATTTAAAATAACATCTGCAGGAAGGTACTCTGCTCTTTTCCAGTGTAGGTACAGTGTACCTTCTTCCCCTTCGCAATGCTTCTGTCTGTTTCTGTCTGCTTCTGACAGAAAAAAAATCAGTTTATGACAAATTTAAGAGTCCTGCATTTGGGAAAAACAAATCCAAAGGCACTTTTGTATATATAAGGTGCTATATCATAACCTCCGCATTTCCGTTTTAGTGCTTTTCTGAATTTAGAGCTTAAGCACATATTTCAGTGTTAAGCTTTTATAGCTACTAAGTGATTTCCAAAGGCAGACAGCAGAAAAAACCTGAATGGGAAATTACGGCTGAAAATTTGCCCTGCCTAAGCTCAGAATACTGATTATACAGTAAGGTCATTACTTTGTATTTCATAGATGTATTTGTTGTGATGTGCACTTACACAAAACTTTTACTGGGCATTCTGAAAGATTACCATTGCTACATTTTGAATCTCTGGAGTGAGATACCAGATCCTTTCAGCTCCCAGAGAAGTTAAACAGGAGTTGGCTGTGCAGGAAGTACTTAAAATTTTACAGCTTTAAAATCCTTTTAAGAACTGATGTTGTATGTGTTTATTCCTGCAAGAGCTCTTGAGTTTAGCTCCTTATGCACTCCTTCCTTATGTGTTTTAAGATAATAGCTGTTCTCTGAACTTCATTCTCTGAAGGTATTTGGAGCTGAGTACATTGTGATTCATATGGCTAAATATCAGTCGTTGTAACTAGAGAAGGCTCAGGGAATGGCTGTGTGGCTAAGTTCAGTCCAGGCCTCTCTTGTTCATGTTTGTATTATAGTAGTTCAGCAAAAGTATCAGCAGCTAAATTTATTGAAAATCTGGCTTAATAGTGCACTGAGGATTCTGAAGTATTGTCTTGTGATTCACTTATGCATTCTCAAGTCAACCTTTTTTTCTTTCCTCTTTAAAGGATATCATTCCTTTCGGCAATAACCCCATTTTCCGTTACCTCTTTGGCTGGATGGTTCCTCCAAAAATCTCTCTGTTAAAACTCACGCAAGGAGAAGCTATTCGAAAGCTGTACGAGCAACACCATGTTGTACAGGACATGTTGGTGCCAATGAAGAGCCTTGAAAAATCTATCCAAACCTTCCATGTTGACCTTAATGTAAGAGCATCTGTTTTTATGATGCAGCGAATCTTGGACCGTGTGTGATAAGAACTGTGACTGTTGATCTTAAGACAGACATAATAGTCTGCTGGTGTAAAAGGTCGTTACTGTACCCTGGGGAGTACTGCACTTTGCAAGTCTGTGAGGCAAGGCTGCAGAAGAAATGACCACAGTCAGATTCAAACTTTAGCAGGAGGCCAACACTTCTAAAAGATCTTACCACTTAGGAAAACTTGAACTGATTTTTTGTTCACCTGAAATGACTGCCAGTCTCAGTAAACCCCAGTGGTGGGAATTAATTTCCCTTTCTTGCTTTTATTTCTGAATTTATTTTAGTCAATATAAGAAGTACGAACTTGGCAATTTCAATTTTGGACTGACCTGGAAAAAAAACCTCTTCGTTCTTTTTCCTCAGAATGTGTTGCTTTGGGATCAGGAATGGGTGCATTTTTTTTTTTTTTTTTTTTCATTTCAAATATATAAGGGGGAGGAGTTGTAATTCTGGGAGGACACAGCACATACTCTGAGCATTTCTGTCCATTTGTGTTGTGGGCATTAGAAAGTGGAGCTAAGAACCACCGCAAGACAAATGGAAAGGAAGAGCTGTGTAATTTCAATCCCAAATTGGGAAGAAATTGTCTTAACTCTTCATTTTGTCACCTTTATTAAGAGATAGCTTAAAGGATTGTTTATATCAAATAAGTGATAAAATGTTTTTTTACCTCTGCAGGTGTACCCGCTTTGGTTATGTCCTTTCATATTGCCCAATAACCCTGGTATGGTCCACCCAAAAGGGGATGAAGCGGAACTCTACGTGGATATAGGAGCTTATGGAGAGCCCAAAAGGAAACAATTTGAAGCCAGGGCTTCAATGAGGCAAATGGAAAAGTTTGTAAGAAGTGTGCATGGGTAAGGATCCTACTCCTTAGAACAGTAATAATGCCATAAAACTGACACCCATGTAGTTTAATCACAGTTACTTAATCCCGCAGAACTTTAATGTTGCAATAATTTAACAACCACCGTAATTGAAACTAAGTTTAATTACTAATTTTGATGTTATGGTTTTAAAATATGCTTTTGCTTTCATTATTTGGTTGCAAAACCAAACAAATGAGCATACTGACTAAAGTTCTTGTGGTGTTATTTGGGAGCTGGGTAGCTTCAGGTCGCGTGTGCATCTTTTCAGCTCCATGCTGCCCTAGGAGTAGACTCCCTGTTGCAATATGCAAAATACATCCATGCAACCAGGTGCAGAAGGACCTCAGCGGGTCTGGGCTGACTGTACATAAACCAGTTGCTGTCCAGAAGTGGTGTTGGCGTGAGTGGGTGACCGCTCTCGGCAGGGCTGGCTGGCGCAGCCCTCGGGAAGGCAGCCGCTGAGCTTGCACACTGAGGCTGACTTGTTCCAGGCTGGTTCAGAGCAGGGGCAGAGCAAATGCTCTTTTGGCCGCAGTTGGCTGTAGTCCCTCCAAGGATCCCACAGGCTGTTAAAGTCTGGACCGCTTCCCTGCCTGCCCTTGGGACCGTTCTGCTCCCTGCAGTCCTCGCAGTGACGTGCTGCAGCTCTGCCTCGACCTTGTGCTGGTGTGCCCTTACACAGGGAGGCCAGCCTTGACTCTCCCCCGCTGTCCCTGGGCAGTGGTGGGAGTCTTTCCTCCCTCACAACTTCCGTAGCTTCCTTTTCTCTGCCCTGATTCCTATTACACAGGACCGGAGTAGGCGTGAGATATGTGCCCACCATCTGTCACAGACTCGTGCCAGCCTAATTTGCCGTAGTAGTGCCAGCGGAGGAGCAGTTACAGTCTTGTTTCTCAGGAACAAAAAACAACTACATGGTATTTTTACACCATCGGTATAATTTAGCCACATTTCTGTTTTGACCTACTTCTCAGTCTAACAGTGATTATATCCCGTGCGGCTAAGTAACAATGGGGAGTCTGCTTCGAGATGATTTGGAGAGTGTAAATGACTTTTAGCTGAAGTAAGTGATCTGCCAGAGAACAAAGGAACACAAAATTAATTCTAAGCTTTTTTTAATCAACTTGAAATTAAGCTTTTTAATTTAAAGCTCTTTACTAACAAAGTTTTGTTTCTTCTCTACCTGTCACTGGGAAATGAACAATGGATAAATGCTTAATCTTACAGTTTTGTAATCACACACAACAATAGAGCTTTTATGTAACAGTTGTGTGTCACTGCTGGGCTCTGATGCTAGCTGCATTTTAGAGCACACAGTATGAAAGTAAGGAAGAGTCCACAGCTAAATAAGGGTTTAATTTATTTTGTAAATGGACCTTTGTTACAACTGTGCTTCATTTACACTATACATTTATCTTCTTGTCCTGGTCTGAGCTGGCAGGCTTTTGCCTTCCCAGTTACATTCTCAATGTCCAGTTCAAAGAAACTGTAAAAAGTCAAAGAACTTATTGCTACATCTGCCTTGAATGCATTTCGTAACGCAGGCCGATACGAGACGTTGTGACTGTACCTCCATGGGTCATAAGAAAGCATGCAGAAAAAATACTTTTTTTTTTTTGAAGCTGGAAATGAAAGGTTTTGGATGGAGGAAAAAGGAAGGCAGTCTTTCAAAAGCAGTTAGAAAAGTATTTTTCAGGGAGAATTTAGGTTATGTGTGATTTTCAGTGCAAGCAGCCAGACTCTTGATTTGGGGGAACTTTTGAAGTTCTCTCTAGACTTGTGTTTCTGTGAACGCAAGTTGTCAGAATACAAGTTGTCAGAAGATTTGGCTGCACACCGTTAGGATGCCTAAACATGAACCACTGTTTCAGATGCATGTTTTAGTCCTGCTGCTTTTCTCTTTGTAGTAGCAAAACTAATGAAGGTATCAATACCATGATGGCTAAAGAAGTGTTCTGAACCATACTTTAAAAGCAATGGTTGTTTTAATTGCTTTTTTTCCCCATATTCTGCTTCACCAAAATGACTATAGCAGTGTTCTGGTGTTTTCACCATTATGTGTTATTTCCTCTTGGGAAGGAGATCATGGTAACGTTAAGTCCACAAAATCTAATTGGCCAAATGTCCCAGCATAATCCGTGTGAGCAATTACATTTGCTTGTTTTTAAAAACTCTGTTTGATGGGGTTTTTTTGTTGAATATTTGTGTGCCCTGATTGGTTTTTTTTTTTTTAAATATTCTATTTCAAATCTTGTGGCACAATTAATATTGAATCTCTGTCTCTTTTGTGTGTTTTTTTTTCCCTCCCCAGTTTCCAGATGCTGTATGCAGATTGCTATATGACCCGTGAGGAATTCTGGGATATGTTTGATGGTTCGTTGTACCACAAGCTGAGGGAGCAAATGAATTGCAAGGATGCCTTTCCAGAAGTGTATGACAAAATCTGCAAAGCTGCAAGGCACTGAGCCTGGATGATCTAATCAAGCAATCAGGGAAAGATGAATTTACCTATAGCTAGTCAGTATATCCTTCAAAAAAAAGCTTTATTGCTCTCCAAATAAGCTCATTCTTGTTGATGTTTAAAAGTATGAATTCCTGCTTTATAAATTTATGTTTAGTATTTCTTCATATGCTTTAAAACCAATTTTCCAAAATCAAAGTGATTGTTTTTAAGAAATCTTAAGTGCTTGCCTTTGTATCTAATGTAGTGACATAGGCGAATTCACCTATTTCCAAGCATAAGAAGAATAATTGGAAAGGATGAAGATGCTGGAGTTACACCAGCTGTGTACTATAGCTATATTTAACATCACTTTTGAAAACGGTAGGGAGGGCTCAGAAATAGGTGCCAAAGCTGAACGCATTGTCATATCTGTCATTTGCCTCCGGTCGGTAACCTGTAGGACAGCTCGGCGGCGGTACCGGAATCTTCCAGCTGCACAGCACTGCATGATAGTGCGCGGTGCGGTACCGCTGGGGTTACGCTCGACAGTCAAACTCCCTAACGGTGGCTTCGCTTTCAAACATGAGCATCGAGGTGTGAAGAAAATGCTTTTTACTTGTGCCTATCAGATTTGTACCGATTTTGATGGTAAAGTGTAAGTGGATGTAGGTTTTAGGTACTTTGTAATTGGCTGACAGTGCATTGGGCTTTTTGCCCCAAAATACCAATGTTCTGGCTTCATAGACTACTGAAAAAAATGCTGCTATTTCATATAGCCAGGTTTTCATTTCAGTTTTTACTCATAGTGTGTCACTTTATTTGGATTTGTTTTGGTTTGCTTTTTTTGGGGGTGGAGTTTGATTGTTCTTTAATTTTAGTGCCTTATAAATACTCAGTTGGAGGAAGACCTGAGTTATTTCAGACCATTCTGTCCTGGCCGGTAGGAGAAGGAAGTCAAGGCTTTATTTATATGAGGTTTGTTAGAGCAAGTGGCTGTGGATAAGAACTTTGGTTGTGAATCTTGATACACACAGGCTTTGGTTCTGACTCGAGTGACATTTTTGCATTTTGTTTTAGCTGGATTAGATTGATAGGCTTTGTAAAAGGACTGTTTCAGTCACCTGGACAGGAAATCAACAGCAAGTACTGTTCAGTTCCCCTTCTGCTGCTCGCTGGTGAGAATGGCACAGTCACACACTTCATACAATCAAGTGTAGAAGTGTGGAAGTGTTTTGACCCTGTAGCCAGAAACATGGTTCCAAACCAAGCCCGTGTCTTGTCCACATAGTACTTAAAATTGTTACTTGAAACCTTACTGAGCTTGAGGGAAAAGAAAGTAATTTCCTTGAGGCTTGCATCAGGGGTAACATCAACTTTTTAAACAGTTACCAGTGGGAGGCGTTGCAGTTTTTATATGAGTGCTAAACCAATGATTTTATTTATTGATAGATGGATGTTTGTGGTCCAGATGAAACCAATGATAAAGCAGTAACAAGAAGAAGCTTGGCCTGTTACGCAGTGATGTGTGCTGGGCAAATTGTGTGCAAATAAGGTACCCCTTAAAATCCCACGCAGGGGACGGGTAGCAGGGGCAGCCTGCCCAGGGGAGACGCAGCCGCTGCAGAGCACCTGCAGTGCTGCCCAAGCCACGGAGCCGGGCAGGCGGTGGAGCTGTGTCAGTGATCCAGGAGTGTCTGCTACACCATTCCAGGCTTCGGAGTGCACATAAAGGCAAACGCTGTTTCTAGGGGTGTAGGCTGCCCTCCTGCCCCTGTGAGGGAAGCCCAGTGCCTGTAAGATAAACTGCACAGAGCAAGAACAGGGTTGGTTAGCTTGTAAAGGGCGATGTTAAAACAGCTAGAGGATATGCAAATACTTTTACTTAGGCTGTGTTTCTTTCACTTATGTACTGATGATCTCTAGGTATGCACTGCATTTGTTTTTCTTCACTCTTAATTTATTGGCAAACTTTGTATGACGTGATTGGGTACTGTTAACTGTATCAGTCATGCACATGCATAATTGCTGTTGCTCTTAATTCTTGGTTGTACGGGCTGTTTAAAATAAAGATCTAGCCAGCGTACTGTTCAAAGTGGTGTCTTCTAATTAATGATTACTTACCTTTCAACGGTTCTGCTTATTTCTTGTGCTTATTGTATTGCTACAAGTGCCCAGCGATTGCTGAGAAAAGCTGCTGTCTGGGTAAGAGACTAGAGGCATTGTTGGGAGATGAGGACCCTGGTGCTGCAAACAGCTTTGAAGGAATGTCTTTGAAGTCTGTGAGTCTACGCTTATCTCTGCCCCAAGACACACCTGTACAAAACAAATGCCTTATAGCTGAGCCTTAACCCTCAGTTATGCCCCACTAACTCCGCATAGCCTCATGATGCCAATTATCCTGATTCCTGCCCCCGCCCTTGCCTCATTCTTTCCCTGTGACATTTTGTCCAAGGAGCACAAAACCCCATTTTGGATTTAGGTGCTACAGCTGTTGACATGGATAGCTACTTCATGCTTCTCACTTCACACTACTAAATCTAATCCCTGGTTTGAATGAGCAGCGACAGAAGCAAGGATGAAGATTCAGTGCCTTCTTCAGCCTGAGCACCTTCACATCCACATCTCCTGTTTCCTTGCCTTCACAGCAGCTCTGTAGGCTTAGTCAGCCCCTCCCTCAGTCACCGCTGGTGCATCCTCTTCCAATGATCCCTTCCCAGAGAAGAAGCTCCTGGGCTTTCTCCTGAAATCCAGGCTGCCAAATGCCTCAGGCCCACTGAAACCATAGTTCAGGTGCCAAAGCCCTGTGTTCCTTTAATCGCATTCTGTGTTGGCCCTGACTTGTGCTGCATTTCACAGTCCTCTCTCGTTAACCCAGCAGTGTTTCTGCAGCCTACTCTCACCCACATCACTGCTTGGGCATTTGCCTTCAGAGACCTCCTTCCTCCTTTGCTTGCCTCACTAGAACAATAATCAGGATTTCCTTAAATCACTGCAGTTTTACCTGTGTTCAATTATCTCCCCCACCAAAGGATAACTGCAGATTAATTAGCATACTTAATCAGCCACAACTAACATGTAATTACACCTAGATTTAATTATTCCAGTTCGGTCTAAACTAGTACAAGACTTCACAAAGGTTAACTCTAAGTGAACCAGTGTACTCCCGGTACATTTTTGCGCCCATCCTTCGTTACCCCTGACACAGCTCTCTCTTCATTTCACTTTTTCCGTTGCCTCTAGGTTTAATAGCCACAAAACTTGGAGTGGTGACACAAAATCTCCTCTAATCCCTCCAGCTGTTGATAAACATCAGCATTGTTAATTTAAGGGAAGCTGTATGTTACAGCTTGTGCTGAAGATCCTTGCACACAGCTACTTTAAAGATGGCACGGGACAGGTATGAAGGTCTGACTACTCTACTTCGCTACAGTACTGCTTCCTCAGACCTAACTCTGCTGAGTTGTACTGGTAGACCTGGGGGTCTTCAGCTGTGGTACCACCGTGCCCGTAACAGGTATGTGCAACTTCTTTAAGCAGCGTTGTTTGAAAGGAAGTGTTTAACAACACAGAATGAGCTGTGTGTGCCAGCGGACCTTCCCTCGGAGGACATGCAGTATCTGGCATCCTCTTCTGAACTATGTCATTTTTATAAAGGCCAAGGTGGAAATTATTAATTACTCAACAGAAAAGTTAGGCTGCTGATTGTCTAAGAGTGTTTTATTACCATAGAATGAGACTTTAGTTGTTTCCTATATCAACTTGCATGCCAGCATGCTGTCTTTTCATCTACCCTGTCTCATCTGCTGGCGTGTCTGCCATTTATTCACCAATTTGGGCTTTCCAGCACCATCTTATGTTTGAAAAATAGTGATCTCTTCAGAGGTATCTGGACGATGTGAAGCAGAAATCAAATCACGTCAGTTGTTTTTAGCAACAGGCTTGAGCCGCTCACTGTGGAAAGAGGATGTGATTCATTGGACTCAAATTATTGGCTGGATTAATCTCATAAGTCTTAACAAGCATGGAGGTGAACAGAGCTCTTAAAAGCCTAGCTATTCCCTTAAAAGTATAGCTGTAGCTTGAAAAGTGACTTTTGGAACTAGTGCTATTTGGTCAGAGAGATGCATTTAAATTCCAAGTCCTGCTCACTGTTCAGATTTTTTTTTGATTCCTACTGGAACAGCAGGATTAACAAAGCTGGGCAACGTCGAAAGCCAGATTTCATTATGCTTTCGCCATCACAGGATAGCTAACTTCTGGCTGCCCCGCTGAAAGCTGCCAAGTTATATTCAGCCAAGACCGATTTCTAACTACTCTCTGGAGATCAAGAAAGACCTTTGCAGAGCTGTCAGTCCGTAGTGCCACCGCAGCAATTTGCTAATCTTGGCCACAAGCAAAGGTGAGGGCGGAGGGCTATCCTGAGGGCTCTCATTAGTAGAGTTCCTAACTGCTTCACTGGGTTTTCACGCTAGCAATTTCAAAGCGCTTTGTGGCGAAAGTGAGCCTTGCTATCTGCCTTACTCAGATGGGTAAACCAAGGCACAGCCTGAGGAGGTGATTTTTGTTCGGGGCCATTGAGCAGTCCAGTACTGGCACTGGAAATGAGTTCAGCCAGCCTGATTACCCATCTGCCTCCCAGTTCCTTCCCAGGCTGCCTCCCCTAACTCAATGGAAACTGTTTGCCCGCACCACCACTGCAGGCAAATTGCATTTCACAAGGTGCAACAACCCTGGCATCTGTGAAGTGCCTGGTGAGCCAGTAGTTCTTTAAACATTCCCACTAGCTCTACGTGGTGAGGAAGCACGAAGCTCTCCTCTCTTTCCTGGGAGCAGACAGGCAGAGCAATGCCAACCTCCTTGTCCACAGAGTGAACTTGTGGTGGGGCTGGAGAGTGTTTCTCAGTCCCAATGCAGTGCTTTCACTACACGATCACCCCATCTCACATCAGTTGTAGTGTCAGTAACATGCACTCAGACTCCTCATGGCTGCTCAAAGTGATTTTCCTGTAAGCCAGTGTGAAACCACTTACAGCCCCTTGTCTGTCAGGTTTACCCCAAGTAGGCATCCCGCTTCAAGTTGCTGAGGTACTGCTGCACATCACATCAGTACAGGGACTCGTATCTCATTTTCTGAGGGTATTTATCATGCTTGGTGATGTCGTAGCGACCAACACCTACAGGGTTCTGGAAGGAGGAGGTCTCGTGCTTCCCCATCCACAGGCAGTGGGGGGGATGCAAGTGGGGCAAAACCAGGTGGTGCCTTCACGTGGCCAGGCCTTCAGTTGCAAAAAATCATAGAATCATAGAATTGTTTAGGTTGGAAAAGCCCTTTAAGATCATCAAGTCCAACCGTTAACCCAGCACTGCCAAGTCCGCCCCTAAACCACATCCCTAAGCACCACATCCACACGTCTTT